CTGTCCCCTGCTTCTTTGCACACTTGTCTGGGCTGACAGAAGTGGGGGGTGAGAACCTCGCTCAGCCACTGGTGGCCAGATGACTACAAACTGGCAGGTGTGAGATGAGACCGGGGGAGTGGGACTGGGGACAGCCAGGCACAGGTGCTGCAGATCCCAACCTGGTTTTTCAGCCAGAAGGAGGAAGTGCTGGGTTCTGAGCACAACCCACAGAGCTGAGGCCCCCACGAAAGGAGATACTGAGGCCAGAGCCAGAGGTGGCCCCTTCAAGGTCTGTGGAGGTATGGCCACCACCCTCCACCTCCAGCTCCACATGGAGAACCAGGTCCTGGAAGACCCCAGCTCCGGCCCAATCCATTGCATACCTTGAGCAAGATTTTCTAGTCCTTGAGCCTCAGCTTTCTCACCTTCAAAATGGGCCTCAACGTAAATGGGTCTAGGGGCCGGGGATTTAGCTCAGTGGTTCCAGCACCTGCCTCACAAGTGCAAGGTCCTGAGTTTGATCCCCAGTATCAAAAAAAAAAAAAAACTAAATGAGCCTTAAAGGACTAACAAGAGATCACATCGAGATGGTAAATGGAACATGTTTTTGTTTGTTTGTTTGTTTTTGTGGTACCAGAAATTGAACTCAGGACCTTGCACTTGCCAGGCAGGTGCGACACGACTGAGCTATATCCCCGGCCCTGGAATGTGTTTTGTACATCTGTTTTGGCCACTATAACAAAATGCCAAGGCCGAGGAGCTTATCAACATGGAAATTTCTCAGTTCTGGAGGCTTAAAGTGGAAGATCAGGGCTCCAGCATGGCCAGGTTCTTCCCGGGCACAGATGGCCACCACCTTCTTGTATCCTCTCATGGTAGGGTAGGTGGAGAGTCTGTCTCTCTCTCTCCCTCTCTCTCTCTCTCTCCCTCCCTCCCTCCCCCTTGCTCTTCCCTCCATTTCTCCCATTCATGAGGGCTCCCCTCATGACCCAACCTGTCCTGCCTCTCATCACACTGGGATTGGCCAGAACACACGCATTCAGCCCAGGACAAGCAGTTAGGGGCCAGTGCACTTCGGGGGCTGTGTCCTTACCTAACAGGAGGCCAGGCTGAAAGGGTCTTCAATGCCTTATCCCCACTGGCAATTCATGGTCTGTAGCAGGAAGGATGTGGCACTTCAAGTCCAACCATTTTGAATTTCTTTTTTTTTTTCCCTTAAATTCTTCTATTGGTACATTTTAGGTGTACAGTACATTTACATTTCTCATTGGGAACTTGTACCTTTACATAATGCATCTTGGTTCTTATTTTTTCCCCATTCCTAGCCCTCCCTTCACCCCCTCCACCCTCTCCTATTTACAAAGACTTTGTTTCCATTTTTTCCATTTCTCATCATTTTTCCTTTCCCTTCTTTCCTTTCCCCTGCCCCTCCCACTACCCCTACCCCTTTGGACCTTTTCTTCCTATTTTGCATTATCAATTATTCATTTTAATCATTGGTGCATTTTAAGGTGTACAATATAATGACATTCATCATTGGAAATTTGCACCTTTACATAAGCTCTCTTGGCTCTTATTTTTCCCCCTTCCCCTGCCCTCCCTTCAACCCCTTCATCCCTCTCTATTTACAAAAACTTCTACTCAGCCATAATGAATGAGAAATTAGAGACATTTATAGCTAAATGGATGCACATTGAGGCAATACTCTTAAGTGAAATAAATAGGACACACATGTGTAAATACCGAATAGTTTCTCCAGTGTGAGAAACTGAAAGTGTCAATAAGGACTAAAAGGTATAATGGATAGTGTGAAATGGGAAGAAAAGGACCATTTTGAATTTCAATCATCACTTTTATTCTTACTAAGTTTAGGAAGCCTAGAACAGGGCTTTCTGCTTCTTCTGCAGATCACTTTCAACATTTTTCAATTAAAAAAGGAATTCTAGCTTTCCTTCAGATTTAAGGTTGGGAGCAAATAAGGGAGAAAGAACTTTTAAAAATAGAATAACTACAGCAACGGCACACACAGGCTGCCCCTCAGTGAACCCCTGCTCTGTGCCAGGGCTGCCTCAGTCAGCACTCCAGTCCCACAGTGACTTTGCAGGATGAAAGCACCAGTGACAGGGACAACACTGTGCCCAACAGGCCAGCAGTCACAGCTATTGAGTGCTTGGATGTATGAGGCCCTGCTTCAAGGGGCTGTGCGGTCTGCATGGCTGGTCCTCACAGCAGGCCTCAGGGGTGCAGCTAACACTGGCTGAGCAGCCAGAGTCTCAGGACCAGGAAGGGGCAGAGGGAGGACGCATTGGAAGGTTGGCGATGTTTCACAACTTACTGTACCCATGAGATGTGGTCAAAAATGGTGAATGTTCAAATAAAAATATTTGTTCCAGTAAGATACATTATCATTAATCCTTCTCAAAACAGTCTTCTTTGTTTTGAACATGCTTATCCCATCATTCTGGCCACTTCCTGAAGCAGCTCACACACACACACACCAACACACCGAATTTCCACCCAGGATTTAAAGCCAGATACCTAGCTCTGCACTCCCTCGCTTTGTGACTTTGGGGAAGTGATTGTGAACTCTCAGCCCACCTCAGTCTCCTCATATGTGCAATGGGGATCAAAGCAGCCCTGTTTCATGAGATGATTGTGAAATTTTAGGGCCTAACACTTGTAAAATGGTTTGAACAGGGCCAGACACTTGGGAACAACTTCATAAATGTTTCCCATTATCCTCAGCTTCTGGGGTCAAGGAAAATGGACAACAAGAATTGGGAGAATTGGGAGGGGTCTTGGTGCCCACAAGGCTGCATTGGAAGAGTCACACACAGCTTTGTAGCGTGACTTGAGGTAGGAAAGGACAAGGATTCTGTTGCATAAGACAGTGCGACCACTGTGCTGGGGTCTTGGGATGGGTCAGGGAGGCAACTTGGGCCTGAGGCCTTCAAGTGAGATGCTGGGCTTTGGTCTGCATATCTGGAGGGATCTGAAGGATGAGAACCAAGTAGAACCCAGGCCACCATGAAGGAGGTCAGGGGTGATGCTGAAGGAGCATCTGATGTCTGGAGCAGGAGTGAAGCTAAGTAGAAGTGGCAGAGCCACCTTCCTGCAAAGAGGCAGCTGGGCCAGGAGGGTCAGGGTCCCAGAAAAGCCCCAGAGCTGACAAGACTGCTCTCAGAGCCTCACACAGGACACACATGGGCCCCTGTGAGGAATGAATTACCAGCCCATCTTACACATGTGGAAACTGAGGCTCTGGGATGTGAGCTGTGCCCTCAGGGAGAAGTAAAAGTAGGAGCAGCCACCTGTTTACCATGCCTGATAAATGTGAAGGAAGCAGAGGATATGGGAATGAAATTGTAGGGTACAAAAGACCAGGGCTCCCTGTGAGCTGGCTCCTGGCTGTCTTCAACCTCAGAGGATCAGGTGGGAAATCAGTGAGGAAGAATCCCCTTTAATAGGGCTCCACTATTACCCCTCCCGGAGGCCCTCGCTGGCCCCCATGGGGCAGAGCAGTGTCCCCAAACCTTTGCAGTCTCTGATGCAACTCTGAGTGTCCCTAGCATGCTCTGGGCAGAGGCTGCAGGTGTGAAGAGGACTTGGCCCTTCGTTCTTTGAGGAATCAAATTCTGAGAGATAGCATGTCCCTAGCAGGGCTGCCCCTCCATAGCTCTCCGAGGGAAAAGCCTATTATGAAGGAAATCCCAGGAAGCAGGACCACGGCGGGCCACAGGACCATGGGGAAGTGAGCAGGCAGGGGAGGCAGGGAGACGTAGGATGAGGCGGGCTCCTTCCCCAGCCAGGTCTCCCCACCCTGATGGAGCACAGCTCCCAGGGATGCTCTGCCCAGTGTGTGCAGCAGAAGAAGCCCCCAGGCAGATGGAAGCTGCAGGAAACATCATCAGCGCATCTGCCCTGGATGACCCGTGACCAAGGCCACCTCTCTGTGGCTCTTGCTGCTTAGCTGTCATGGGGTCCGTTCCCTGCTGGACCAGAGAGCACATAGGCAGTCCACGTCCAGGTGCCAGCTTCTGGCCTACATCGGTGAACTTGATTTAATTTCTCCAGGCCTCCACTGGCTTCTTTATCAATGCCCAACCCACAGGGCTCTTGTCAAGGGCACCCTCAAAGAGCCTACGGCAGCACCTGGCCCTTACCAGAATGCTTGCTTTCCATGATACTTCCTTTAAAGTCCAAGTACTTTCAAGACAAGATCAGCACCTGCATCTCACAGGAGCTTGCCCTTGACAGTGCCCAGGATAGAGAAGGCACCAAGCTCAAGTCTGAAGAATGAAAGAAACGGAAAACGTAAATAAGGACTAAAAGGTATAATAGATAATGTGAAATAGGAAGAAAAGGGGCAAAGGGGAAGGGGAAGTGGGAGGGGGAGGGGAAAAGAAAGAAGGGAATGGAATTAATATGAGAAAATGAAAACATGGAAACAAAGTCTTTGTAAATAGGGAGGGATGGAGGGGTTGAAGGGAGGGCAGGGGAAGGGAGAAAAAAATAAGAACCAAGAGAGATTATGTAAAGGTGCAAATTTCCAATGATGAATGTCATTATATTGTATACCTAAAATGCACCAATGATTAAAATGAATAATTGATAATGCAAAATAGGAAGAAAAGGTCCAAAGGGGTAGGAGAAGTGGAAGAGGTAGGGGAAAGGAAAGAAAGGAAAGGAAAAATGATGAGAAATGGAAAAAATGGAAACAAAGTCTTTGTCAATAGGGAAGGGTGGAGGGGGTGAAGGGAGGGCTAGGAATGGGGAAAAAATAAGAACCAAGATGCATCATGTAAAGGTACAATTCCCAATGAGAAATGTAAATGTACTGTACACCTAAAATGTACCAATAAAAGAATTTAAGGGGAAAAAAAGAGAGAAAGGAATAAAAAGATAACCTGGAGTTGAGCGCTAATGCATGCACTCTGAGATGCGGAGGCAGGAAGATCACATGTTCAAAAGAAGCCTGGACATCTTAGCTATTTAACAAGATCCTGTCTTAAAATTAAAAAAAAAAAAAAAAAAAAGGGCTGGAGATGTAGCTCAGTGAAAAGGCCCTGGGGTCAATCCCCAGCACTAGGGGAAAAAAGAGCTAAGGTGTGAACCTAGACAGAAAATTTTTAGTTTGGTATCTCAGCCTGGATTCCTAAATGGTACTATGGTGTCTCTTGATGTCCTGCCTTTGAAAGAATAAAATACCTTAACTGGAGCCTACTGATAACAAAAGACACACTAAACCAGTTCTGAAGAAACTTTCTGGAGCTGCCTCAATTTTCCTGAGGCTCTAGAACCTCTCAGGAACCCAGGTGTCCTTGGGCTGAGTAAAGGTTAATCGTGGACTTTGAACTCCTAAAACAAGCAGGTCCGGAGTTTGCATTGTGTGCATCTGCTGCCCTCTGGTGGGCAGAGTCAACAGCAACAGGAACATTAAATTCCTCTTTTCTGCCCCTAAGCAGAAAAATGTTGGGTTTGCAAATATTGCTTTGGTTTGCAAAGCACTTACACATTTGATGTCTTGTGGTCATGTGTGAGCCCTAAAACTGCCTTGTGAGCCAGCGAGGGTTATCTCCTTCGCAGATGAAGAAACAGGCTTGGAGGAGGACTCTCCAGTCTGAGCTAAGTGCTGAAACTGAAGATTGTGCTGACCTCCATCAAGGGTCCATGCATTGCAGGCTTGGTTCATGGGAAGGCACTACTGGGAGGTGGTAGAGCTTTTAGATTTAGGGCCTCAGGTTAATGGTGTGTGCCCATGGAGGGGACTTTGGGATCTTAGTGTCTCTCTGTGTTCATTTTGAAGCCACTGCTGTGGTTCCTCTTCTCCCTCCTCACCAGAGGTGAGATCAGTGGGACCCCTCTCCTCTGTCTTGGTCTTTGATCCTCCAAACTGTGAGCTAGATAAACCTCTATTTTGTGAAGTTGGTTGCCTCGGGCACAAAGATAACTACTAGAGGCTGGAATTTCTGATCCTAAAGTCCAGCTAATTTGACTCTAATCTCCTGTTCTGAAACTGCCTATGAGTCCTCAACACTGGTTAATAATGCAGAATTCCAGCCACCATTACCCCAAAAATCTATGCATGGGACTGGGAGTCCGAGGCCTGGCATCCTTCCAAATGAGCCTGGTGCACAGAGGGGCCGAATGCTTGGCCTGGCTGTTGGAAACCGCTGCCTGAGCCACAGGACCTCAGGGTCCGAGCCTGGACATCCTACCATCAACACCACATGGCTGAGGGTCTGACCTCCCTCTCGCTGTGGCAAGTGCCTCCCTGTGCCTCTCACACACCTGGCAGCCCCTGACATCTCCCAGGAACGTGTGTCCACTACACCACAGACACCAGGGCAGAGTCCCAACCCCCATCTGAATGGTCACGAAGACCTCTGAGAACAGGCGGTGGCAGAGGTGGACGGCACCCATGTGGTGACACACAGTGAGCCAGGGTGAGCCAAGGCTGTGTCCACAGAGGTCACCTCGAGCAGCTGCCACACTGAAGTGTCTCCTGCAAAAAAGCCCCACCCTGTGCCCCGGCCCCTTGAAACTCCCTACCTCTGATCATGGGACAGCTGCTTATCACTAAAAGCACAGTAACTAATTTTAGCCTGCAAGATTAGCTCACTCTCCCGCCATACTGCAATTCCATTTTCCTTTTAGCTGGAAATCTCAGTTCTGTCGCCCAATGTGGGGAGGGAGGGGAGCAAAGAAATGTACCAAAGCAGAGCCTTAAATGCAAGCAAACAGGGCAGATACTGAAACTCTGAGTGTAAAGCAGCGACATCCAAACTACCGTACCAAGAAGGTTATTCCCTGCTGAGAAACAGAAGCCTCTGAGCCATTTACCCCGACCGAAAACGTATCGTCCTCCATGTAAAGGGCTCCCTGGGCACTAGAAACTGAAGCCTGATGGGTCTCAAACTGACCTGGTGTTGAAGGCTGGGATACTGGGAATTAGAGAATGACAGGACAGGGAGGGGAGGACAGAACACCAGGTGGGGGCAAGAAGTCCCTCCTGCTTCCCAAGCGGTGACCGTCCTCCTAGACACACCACACACACACGCTCTTCCATTCCAGGACCCCGGGCCTCCCCTGAGCTCTGCAGGAAGCCCAAGGTCACCCAAATTCTTGTTTTACCAACCACTGTGTACAGGTACAGTAAGCCTGCAACCCCAACTACAACTACAGGGAAGGGAAGCACAGGGCTGGCTCAGTGGGGAAAAGATCCTGTCCCAGTCTCTTCTCTTTGACATGAGATGCCATTTGGGACAAAGCACAGATAGCTCCAGGACATCACCCCAGACAGACTTAAGGCTGTCTGTCCCTCCTAAGACAGGAAGGGCTTCTGCCCGCCCAGTTTGCAGTCTTCTTTGCGCCCCAGCCTCTGCTAACTGGAGCTGAGTGTAATGCTCTTCTGAAACAAAACAGAACCAGGCCAAGCCAAAGTCCCTGGTGGCCAGTCGTAGGGTTTGAGGTGTCCCGTGATCCAAGGCAGCAAAGGTCACAAAAACCTGATCCTACAGGGGAAACCACAAAACAGCTGTGGAATGGTAGGGAGACCCCGTATCCATCTGGGATTTCACCAAAGCTGTCTGATCCAAGGACCCCTTGGCTGAGGGCTCACAGGCACCTTCTGTTTCCCATCCACTTCCTCTCAGTGAGGAACTTCCTAATGGGTTTACAAGCCAACACTGTGTATGGGCCCTTAGGTCAACTTTAACATACACGATGCTTCCTTTGGGTCCTAAATAAAATTTATACACAGCTCGCTTATACATAATTTTTTAGAAAGCAACATTAAGTTGAAATATAAATCAGACATTAGAAGAAAGTCATTTTTAGAAAATACATGTGTTTAAGTGTTCAGACTCCCTACGTGAGGTGTGGTAAGAAAATTATCAGCTCCTTCTACTCACTTACAATGCACCAATCTGTTAAGAGCAGATGGTCAGAAGTCATTCCAAATAAGGTATGGGGGGGAATCAAAGAACAAGCAGAATACTAAATGAAAATTAGCATTCCAATAGTAACTGATGAGCCTTTTGTGTGTTAACTAAGTAACACCCCTACATGAGCACCAGAGGGATGTTTGTATGTTGCGCGCCACAGGGAAATGGCTTCTGTCCCAAAAGAGCATGGCAGGTGAACCCTGTGGGTGGCTGAGACAGGCTCCGCTGACCTTTCTGGAAGGAATGCAGGGTTTGTATGTGGCTGTCCAACGTGGCCAACTGTGTGCAAGCTCAGACGTCAGCACCCACCCCAGCAGGTGAGGAGGGGCCCTGACAGATGTGTGGTCAGACGATGGTGCAGCCACAGCAGCACCGCGCAGGGTAGGCCGCTGCGTACACCTGGTGGTCAGTGCCGTATATGTAGTAAACAGAAGTCTTTCCTTGGTACCAGTAATGAACTTCTGTGAGGGGGACCAGCTCGATGGTCTGCCGCTGAGGAAACAAATGTTCAAAAAACAAACTTCAGTGTTCTGTTCCAGTCAGGCACTTGCTCCAAAATCTTCCGTAGCTCCCTGCTACCTGTGGGATAAAGTTCATGCTCTGGAGTTGGCATGAACTCTGGAGTTGGCTGCAAAGTCCAATCTGCCTGTCTAGATTTATGTTTCATTCTGCCCCTTCCCATACCCTAAGCTCTGGGAAAAGCTGACTTCTCATCTTCAGCTACCATCAGAGTCTATGTCTTACCAAGTGGGGCAGACGCAGCCCCAGGGAAAGCCACCAGCCAAATGCAACATCTTTCAGAGCGCTAACTTTAAGATGAGGTGCAGGAGGAAGTTGGCAGATAGAGTCATCTTGAACACATTTACGCTGAAACACTCACAGGGGTACTAGGAAGTGGTTTATAAATCCTGAGTTAAATTTTAACAGAAAACATTGCTACCAGAGAAACCTCAGAGCTTGATGGGCTGTGTCAGGCTGTGTCAGGCTGTGCTCTCAGACCTCCCTCACCCCACCAGTTTTATATGGTCCCTGACTTGGGCAAAATCTTTCTCAAGTGTTTCCTTCTTTTCGCTGAGGCTGGTGGGCTTGTGAAAGCTCAGGGCTGGGAGATGACCCAGTTCAAGCTCCAACTCCTCACCACAGCTTCGCCCATTTAATGCTCAGATCCCCTTCCCAGCACCCACTGCCTTTTAAATATCCCAGTGTGTGCTCCCTCCCACGGGTGGTCCTGGGTGCCCAGCCGAAGCTCTCCACCTCTCCCTGAACCCTGAGGCAGGACTGAGCACAGATCCTGGGGGCGGACAGCACACTGGGCACCCCGCTGTCAGCCTCCAGGGCTGTTTTCTTACTGACCCTGAGCCTGCACAGCTGACGTAGGCAAGTGACAGGCTCCTGAAGTAAGGGGAGCCTGCTCAGGGACTTCCTGGGGGGCCACTCCTGTGCCATTTGGGTGTCTCCCTGTTACACTGTCGGATTTGGGGATCCCAAGCCCAGGAAGAGGTGAGCTGGCAGGAAGTTCCCCGCATGGGAGGGGCCGGGTGCTCCTGCTGTGGCGATGACTTGGAGGCCCTGGCAGAAGGGGCTCAGCTGAAGCCACCCATGCTGGACTCTGTCGGCCAGCGGAAAGCCTCCCCCTCCCCCGGGCTTCCGAGGAGGGCGGGAGGGGCAAGTGAGTGCAGGAGTGGAGGGCAACTGGGGTCAGGGCAGGAGTTTCCCTTGGAGCTCTCTGCACAATCTTGTGCTCCAGTCCTCTGGGCCGCAGCTTCCTCGTCTGTAAAATGGGGATAAAAACTTTCACAGAGTTGCTGAGACAACAAAGTGAGGCCGGAAGACTGAGCTTTCCTCCTCTGCCAGAAATGTATCCTAGTGATAGTCTGTGCCCACAGGGGACAGAGTCTAGTCTCAGGTTCCTGGCCCTGGCCGGGGAGTCGAAATGTGTTCTCATGACTGGATTCTGCTCACTGCCTTCTGCATCCTGAGTAAAATCTTGACATGAAGCTTTGTCTTCAGCTCTGGGACCAAAGGCCAGTTTGGAAAAAGGAGTCACAGAAGTGGCTTCCTATGTACCATTATGTCCCCTTTTCGAGAAAAATGTGCCTTGCCTCTTCACCTGCACTTTTAGACTCCTGAATTTGTCTGCAAATAACTTGTGCTGCTACAGAGGGGACAGTGCTGCAGGGACAGACTCCTGAGACCCACATCCTAGTCCCAGACCTGCTACCCCAGCCTGTGTGATCTCAGCAGCAGGTCCTGTCCCCTTCCTGGGCTCCAGTTTAGCCAGCTGCCAAGTGAGCAGTCCAAGAAAGATTTTAAATTGTCTGCCTCCTAAGTGAAATAGAGTCAGGCTGGGGATGTGGCCCAATGGCAGAGCATTTGCCCAGCTCATGCAAGGTCCTGGCTTCTGTTCCCTGCACCACCAAAAAAAAGTGATAGCCCAGTTAAAGTCTGTGGTGTCCAGCAGCTCCCAGCCTCCCTCCCTCCTTTCCTCCCAAAGCCTCTTCTGGACCCTGGAGTGGATGCCTTGTTATTTGGTGCTCTTAACTGCAACCCAAGCCAGAGCTTCTCAGGAACTCATTCCATGGACAGCCTCATGCCCGCCAGCCTTCCTCCAATCTGCTCTTGCACCCAGCCCCGGCTTGCAGCTCAGCTCCCTCCAGAGACCATCCTGGCCACACGGGAAGGCAGTGTGCCAGGGAGGCCGCCCCCTCAGTTCCTACAATCAGAGGTTCGAAGAGGTCCAGCTCCCTGGCCTTCAGGAAGACAGCCCAGAGGCATCATGTAAGACCACAGCTTGTGTGGGAACAGAAAGAGGAGAAGCTGGCACTTGTCCTTGGTTACTAAGTTGCTCAGGCTGGGCTTGAACTTGAGAACCTCCTGCCTCAGCCTCCCAGAGTGCTGAGATTACAGGCCTGTGCCCCACATCCAGCCCCAAGTCCCCTCATTATACAGATAAAGACACTGAAGCCCAGGAGTGGGAAATGAGAGCTCAAGCTAGGCAGCAGGTGCTAACCTGGTAAGCACATTGTCTGCAGTGACCAGGGCCCACAAGCCCACAGCTGGCTGGAGCATCCCTGTGAGCCATCGCCACATAGCTTCCAGCATTGCTACTAAGGGGCCGTGCGGCCTTGGCAAAGCACGGCCACTCTCTGGGCCTCCTCTCCTTTATGTGAAGTCATGACTTTGGATCAGACCAGGGGAAGCTGGAGCAGGCCCATCAGCCCATTCAGCATTCTCAGCTGTTTTGGAATTTTGGTGTTGATACTGACAAATTGGAAGGTTTTGTTTAAAAAGCCAGACATGAGGCGGTCTGAGCCCTCTGGCCCTGTGCTAACACAAGCCGAGCGGTGGCCGTGTCTCCGGATGAGGGCCACCCCCCCTCTGTGACAGCCTACTTGGGTGCGGGTAAGTGCACCATGTCCAACCTGCATGATTTCTACTTCCCAGCCCAGTTGGCCCCTGTAATTCTTAGTAAATATGCCCTTCTCGCCACTTTGAACAGGAAAGTCATGGAGAGAGGGGGCAAGGCTCCCTGCAGAGAACAAGGAGAAGAGAAACACCTTGAGCAGCAGGTGCCCAGCACTTCGAGCCCAGTCCTTCCTCTCTGCAAAGTCCTTTGAGTCCAGCTAAGAAACCAGACTCAAGAGGAAGTAGCTGGCCTGGGACCACATCAGGTTGCGGGAGATCCAGGGTCCAATCCCATCTGCAGGCCCAAGCCCAGCCACCAGGTTCCTGTCACAGGGCTGATCACAGGCCCAGACTCTCACTATGAGGTCCCCAGCCAGCAGCATGGTGAGGGAGGGCACCTCATAGCCACACCTGGGGACTTGGGGCCAGGGTGGGCAGCACTCCCACTTAGTGCTCACTAGGATAAACTGCCCAAACAGGGCCTCTGGGAGCAGGCATGGCTGGGATTCCAGCATCTAGCCCAGCCTCTGACCTGAATCTCCAACTCTCTTCTCCCCGAACTGAAAACCAGGAGTCAGAATCAAAGCCACACAGTGCCTCATGCATGCTGGAAACCCTGCATTGCTCTGCATCTCAGAGCAGAGCCCAGGCTTGGAATAGCTGGCCTCAAGGCCTGCCATCTGCCCCATGGTCCCATGGTGCAGCTGGCACTTCTGCCTTCTCCCTATAACCTGTCCTGGCCCTGCCTCCCCTTCCTCAACCCCACAGTCTCAAGAAAGAGTCCCCAGGCCGACAGCAAGGGTCAGTTTCCCCTTCTGGTGACCAAGGGACAGCACCCCGCCTGGCCCTGGAGCCCCACAGTTGACAGCCCCAGATCTAATCCCCCAGGGTTGGGGCCCAGGAAGAGAGTGAGAGCCAGGTGGCCCACCAGCCCCTCACTTACCTGCTGCAGGATGCGGCCCCGGGAGGCCAGGGCTGCACTGTGCTGTGAGATGCCCCTCCGGGAGGCCAGGGAGATGTCCCGCAGGGGGAAGTCCACAATGGGGTACACCTGGGGGAGACACGGACTGCTTCACCTTCTCAGACCCACAGCGCCAGCACCTGGAGCCTTGGGCTTTGGGATCAGGAACTCAGATCCACTCCTCACTCAAACACTGAAACCACTTACTGTGTGCCCAGCACTTTGTGTGAGCTATGGACACACTGTGCAACATCAGTAAACCCTAGAGCTAGCAGTCAGCCTACATAAAGTCCAAGGACAAGGCAACTACCACCCAGGGCCTGTGTCCTGGGCCGTGCTGAGAATCCTCCACATGGAGAGCAGGCCTGTCCTCCACAGCTCTTTGCTGTCTTTGAAACTGCTGAGCCCCAGACCTGCCCTCTGCCCTCTGAAACCACCTCCTCAGCATCCACCTGGGCCTGGTGCTGTTGTGGATGCCGAGGGCAGAGAGGTCACCACCACAGGCCCTGCCTGTCAGAGCGCGTTCCCCAAGGGCCCTGACTGAGCATCAAAGGCCCAGACAGTATGTGGTGTTGTGAGCCATGTGGCCTGTTTTCCTCAACTCTGCCCCAGGAGCAAGAAGACAGCAGTAGACGATAAACAAGCAGGGCCCTAGCGGGGATCCAAGAAAAGTCTACTTCTAAAGCAGGTATGGGCCAGGCATTCAGACCTGACCCTAGGATGCTACCTGGTCTCACCTCCGGCCCCTCCCACATCCAAGCTTCAGGGACCGAAGGGCTCAGGAGCTTCCTTTCTGCCCAGCAGCTGTGTCCCCACCCACCTGCCGGTGACTGCAGCCCCCACACTGGCCAGAAGAGCCTGCCCCTGCCCACAGAGCCCTCCTCACCACCGAGTTCTCATCCCTGAAGAGGTTTTCTCCTTTGGCTTTGGCCAGGAGCTCCCTGGGGCAGTCCAGGTGGGGCTCAGACACAAACTCAAACAGGCTGTTCCTCCTGGAAGGAGAGAGAAGGAGCAGTCAGGAACAGGGTGAAGGGTGAAACACACAAAAGGTGCAGCCTGGGGTCCCTGGGCCTCTCTCAGCCTCAGCATCCCCCATGCACGATAGGGAGTGAGGAAAGGAGGCTAAATGTTCACTTCAGGGACTTCTCTACACTTCCGTAGGTGCTCAGTCTGCCACCTGGTGCAGGACAACCTCACTGCAGAGCAGTGGCAGTGCCTGTGCTCAGTATGTCTGCCTGCTCAGGGGCCCATGGGGCTACCCTACTGTATCCCCTCCCCCAGGACTTTCCTCCTCCAAATCCTGGCAGCTCTCTGCACCATGAAAGCCCTACCAAGTGGTTTCTCGGTCACATCCCCGGCCCCTCCTTCACCCCTGGCACCAAGGGGCTGCCACGTACCACATGGTGACCAGCTGGACGAAGTGCACCAGCTTCCGCTCCCCCTTGCAGGTGGAGCACGTCTTGCTCCCTCGCCCTGAGCACATGCTGCACCTGAGGGCCACAGTTAGTACTGTTCGATAGCTTGCAGGTCCAGGAAGCTCCCAAGGTCCCCGAGTCCTCTCCCGGAGGTGGGCAGGGAGGGCATGCCTACCACCACCCATCCCTTGTTTCCTTACCCTTTTCAGGCCACCCCTCCCCACACAGCCTATTGGTGCTTGGGCTTTGCTCCTGCCCTTCTGTGGGCTTGGATTCCATCTCACTGGCAGTGACAGCCCATACAGAGATGGGCACAGGACCCAGGCAAATACACTGAGAGCCACCCCAGGGCTTGACTGGAGCACCCTTCTCTCCTAGGGTGACTGAGCTGGGCCACCGGTGGTCCCTCCAGCATTCCAACCTGGGTCCAAAGAGCCCTGATGAAATCCTGGAGTTACACTGCTGAGCTCACTGGCTTGAGCCTGTAAATTTGTTTTTGCTAACACCAGTTTAAAATAGTGTTTTTCCACTGACAAATAAAAGAAGCCTGAGTTTCTTTCCAAACAGAAGACCTTCTTCCCTACTCAGGGTGGAAGGTGCACCAAGCTTTACCATCCAGCTTCCAGAAGGAAAGTGTGAGAGTGGATGAGCCACAGGCATCATTTACCCACTCAGCTTTGAATATTCTCCCTCCTCCTGATTTTGTTTCTCTTTAAAGATTTATAAGCACATTAAAGGGCATGATTTACAAAATGCAGTGAGCAAAGAAAGAGCATTGTTGGTTGTTTAGTCAATCAACCAATTTGCCTTGTTCCATTCAGGCCCTGATATAAATTTATAACCAGAGCTTTGCTCAGCACCTGCTCCTCAGAGGTAAGAATCGCCCTCTAGGTAGTTTTGGAAAATCACTTCCCTGTGTGGACAGAAAGACCCCCACACACACCCCGAACCTTCTTCCTCACTCTTGCCCACATACTGCTTGCTTGGGTTTTTCTGGGTATGTTTTTTGTGTTTGTTGTTTTTGTTTTTGTTGGTTCTTTGAGACAGAGTCTCGCTATGTAGTTCAGGCTGGCCTTGAACTCACTATGTAGCCCAAGCTGGCCTCAGACTCGAGGTGTTCCTCCTGCCTCAGCCTCCTGAGTGCTGGGACTACAGGTGTTTCCACCACACCTGGCACATACTGCTGGCTGAGTGCCTGTTTTCTGGCCTTGAGAGGAGCTCAGCACTCTGCACCAAAGCCTGGCAACATAGCTGGACACAGACAGTGGAAACTGAGGAGCCAGAGAGCCAGGGCACATCCCCTGCAGGAAGGGGACACCCACTCACCCCTACCTGCACCTGCCGGAGCCTGAGCACCTGGGACACCTCCGGGGCGGCCGGGCTTTGCGCTTGGCTCCGCTGCACGCTGGACATCTCACCTATAGACAACTGCAGCCTCAGCCTTCGGGCTGCCGGGATGCAGGGCCCAGCACACTTGATACTGGGGCCGATCCCAGCCTGGTGACCTGGTCGGGTCACTTCCTCTGAGCACGGGAGGGTCAGATGTGAGGGCTCTCAGACTCCACATCACTGGATCCCTGCTTCTTCTGAGACATCGGCCTCCCTGCCTCCCCCATCACCAATCTCCCAGAGGACACCCCTACCCTAGTGTCAAGAGGGGCAGGGAGCACAGGGGCTGGCAGGGACCCTTGCTGGGAACAGGAGGGGAGAGGATAGGCATGGGGGTCACTTTTGGAAATGGCCCCAGAGGCGGCCCAGTCACAGATCAGTGGAGACTGGAGGCACCCAGAAAGCAGGAGGAGCAGAAAGACCCCAGGGAGGTGCACCCAGGAAAGCTGGAAGGAGTGAGGACACAGAAAGGGAGAGAGAAGCCAGGCACGGGCCGCCGTGGAACCCATGGCAGCACATGAACTGAAGGACAGGAACACCCGGCAGGAGCAGGTGGCCAGCAAGTGAGCAGTGCATGACACAGGTGAGGGTGGCTGGTGGTCAGCGTGTGACCCATGAGGAGGCTCCACTTGGGCAGAGCAGGGAACATGTGGGAATGGGGTCCTCCTCCAGGGACAGCCAAGGGCCCAGGAGGCTTCCGGGAAGGAGGCTAACGCCCAAAGGCCTGGGTGTCTGCTCCAGGCATGTGCCGGGCTGAACTCAAATTCAGCCAAATTCGAGTCCACAGGAACCTCAGCACAGGACCCTACTGAGAAATAGTCTTTGCAGATGTCATAAGTTAAAACTAGGTTGCAGGACCTCCGCAGGCTAGGCTGGGACCAAAGAAGGTTTATAAGCCCAGCTCCCAAGCCTCAGGGGCCTAGCACTAAGGAGGTGATCAATGGTGCTGGGAGACAGATGAGAAAAGGACAGGAAAACTAAAGTGGAACTGTCCAAGGGCAAGGGTCTCTAGATGCACCCATTTTACAGATGAGGAACCTTTCTTTTTTTAGAGTCCTGGGGATTAAACCCCAGTCGTTTGCACCAAGCTACCTCCTCAGCCCTTTTTATTTCTTATTTTGAGACAGGTTCTTGCTAAGTTACCTGGGCTGTGCTTGAACTGCAATCCTCCTGCCTCAGCCTCCCAGAGTGCTGGGATTACAAGTGTGCATCACCATATCCAGCTGAAACCCTCCCATTTTACAGATGGGAAAATGGAGGCCCCGAAAGGGAGGATGATTGTTTGAGGTGGTCCTGTTCACTCAGGGAGACCCAGGACCCAGCTCAGCCCTGGGTTCCTGTCCTCTCCCAACAGTTCGATCACTTCCTCCTGGTAACCCAAAGGTGACTCACCGTGCCGGCACCGTGGCAGCCACTGCATTTGTACCGCCCATGTCCACAGCACTTGTGACAGTCCTGAGAGTGAAGGGCTCACCTTAGACCCAGTTTCCAAGCACCCCCACCCTGCCAAGACGCCACCATCTTAAAGGGAAGTGCAGGTTCAGAGCCAGAGTGAGAAGACAGCACAAGGAAGGAATGGCCCTTCTGTGACATGAAAGGGTCCCAAAGGCCTTGAAGGCAGGCTAAGGAGAGCTCGTTCCCACTTCCTCCAGGCCTGGCTCCATTAGTCCTGAGTGCCAGGAAGGGGATTCCTGGAGCCTTGACTTTGTCATGGGGCTAAACCAGCAGGTCTGAGGGTGTGTGTCCCTCTGGTGCCAAGGCAGTCTGTGGAACAGACCCACCCATCCTGGGCAGGGCTGGCGCGACAGCAATGAGCTTTCTACTCAAGTTTAATCATCACTCAATAAAAACAGCTTTGGAATGCTTTCTTGCCCTCTCCAAGTCTTTTTCATCTTATAACTCTATGAAACCACAAGAGTGAAAAGCCCCTTCTTGAATGAAGCCCTAATGTGAAAACAGGCAATAATTAGAGGAGAAGAGGATCTAAAGTATGGGCAACACATGAGACTCCTCTCATCCCCACCGTGATTTTATTGCTATCACACAGGATGGGAGCTAAAGGCTCCTTCCTGCTGACTTCCTACGGAAATCAATAATGTTTTAACATTTATTTATGTCAGTTTGATTGGGCCCTGGGTTATATACCATCAGGACAGACAGTCAGGGAATGTTACTAAGTTCTGCTCAGCATCTAAAGCTAAAGTTCTGTGAATGGGATGGGCTTCCTGCCATGAGAAGGCCCACTTCCTAATTCGAATGGGATTTTGTATGAGTCCACGGTTCAGGGTTTTAAATTAGGTCACTTATACCTGAGCAAGAACAACCAGGCTGGATGGAGGATTCTTTTCTGAGAGGATAAAAAGCAAGCAGAACCTGGAAAGTCTGAGAAGAGTGAATATTCCATCAGTCACGTACCTTGACCAGGGAGGAGTGAGGCACTTGGGACTTCCTGGTGTCCTCCTGGAACATTGCGGGGACTTGGACCTTGATGTCCCAAAGCTTGGGCGAGGTGCCTCTGTGTGGGCCATCGACTAAGTGGTCTGACACAGAATGAGGGGAGACAGGGACAGGACTTTATTTATTCACCAAGCAGGCATTAGGCCAGATCCCAGGGCTGCAGAAATGATGTACAAGCCAGCCTATGCCTGTCATCCCAGCACTCTGGGAAGCTGAAGCTTGAAGATCCCAAATTTATACCCAGCCTGGGCAACTTAGCAACTTAATGAGATGCTGTCTCAAAATAAATTTAAAGGGCTGGGGATTTAGCTCAGTGGTTCCCCTGCCTGCCTCACAAGTGCAAGGTCCTGAGTTCGATCCCCGGTACCAAAAAAAAAAATAGATTTAAAAAGGGCCTGGGATGCAGCTCAGTGCAAATGTCCTGAATTCAATCTTCAGTAGTGAAAAAGAGAGAAAGAAATGAGTGCACAAGGTCTCCTCAGCTGCTGGTTGAGCGCCCCGGGCTTTTGGGTGGGCATACGTGGGTGAAACTCCAGGCTCTTCTCTTTCCTCTCCATGGGACTCCAGGCAAGTTACTCAGCCTCCCTAAGCTTCAGTTCTCCCATCTGTAAAATGGGGATAATGGTGGCACCTACCATAGAGGATGGTAGCAAAAATTAAACAGAAGAATGTCTATAAAATGCTTAGCATAGGGCTGGGACATACTGAGGGATCAATGAACAAGAGCTATTGTCTGTCACCGCAGTCCTTACCACCATCCCGTCTCCTCCTCTGCTGCAGGAGGCAGATGCAGCATGGTGACAAGACACGGTAAGTGTTCTGTAGAAAGGCTGTGCAAAGAGCTCTGAAAACTCAGAGGTCTGGCCAGTCCTGCTGGGGAGGGACATAGCCCAAAAGGCTTCATAAAGGGAAACACATGGGCTGGGTCTTGCAGGATGGACTGAGTGGCTGAGCAGAGAAAGCAGACAGGGCCAGGGCTTCCCCAAGAGGGAACCACAGACTTGAGGGGCTATGGGGAACCTGGGTGGTCTAGAAACTTCAGGGGTCCAGGGTTGGGTGGAGGCAGGCAGCTGCCCGAGCACCCACACTATCTGGCCAGTGGCCAGGAGGCATCTCCCGAGATCAGCACTGGTGAGCCTGAGATGGAGTCACCCTGTGTTTACAGAGATGGGGAGGGGCACAGCTCCAAAACAATTAGCTTCTCAGCCTGGATGAGCAGCTGAGCCCAGGCCTGGATTTCCCACCACCGTCTCTTTATCTGCTCCCAAGCTGAGCCCAGATAGCTCACTTACTAGTGAAGGGTTGAAATGTCCATTCGCTTAACCTGGATTCGCTGAAGGTCTCCAGTCGGTACTACCGAGAGGAAAAACATTACATCTATTAGCTGGCCATGGTAGTGCACACCTATAACTCTAGCACTCCAGGAGACTGAGACAGGAGGGTGGCACATTTGAGCCTAGTCTCAGCAATTTAGTGACTTAGCAAGACCCTGTCACAAAAAGAAAATAATTTTTAAAAGGGATGTAGCTCAGTGCAAAGGTGCTGGGTTCAATCCCTAGTATGAAAGAAAGAAAGAAAGAAAGAAAGAAAGAAAGAAAGAAAGAAAGAAAGAAAGAAAGAAAGAAAGAGAGAAAGAAAGAGAGAGAGAGAAGAAAATCACACACACACACACACACACACATATACACATGCCCTTTATAACTCAAGGGTGCCCCCTTGATAGTGCCCCCGCCGCCCCGCCACGGAGCTGCTCCTACACAATACCCTGGTGCTGTTTGGTGCTGCTGGCAATAGCAATTTTGGTTCTAGATCCCCTGAGCCACATGCAGGGAGGTCAGCCAGTCAGGGCACCTCACACTGGAGCAATTTCAGTTCCACAGGGACTGCTGAAGCAATGTTCTGAGAGGGAGTCTTGAAGGACTATTCGGCCTGTGATAGATAGAGTCCACAGAGTCCACTGCTCTGAGGGTCCGCTTAGGTGGAATTGTGTCCAATGTCCAGGTACTTCTTCTTGATCCTTAGGCTCAGAATCTCAGATCAAGGTGGGATCTTGGCCATTGTTTGGCTCTTCCTCATACATGTGAGGAAGCAGAGGCTCAGAGGGGTCACTCAGTTGACTGGTCCAAGGTCACACAGTTCCAAGGTGGCCCCTTCCTCCAGATCTCCAATGGAGCCACTACCTGTATCTGATTTCTTCATGAATGCACACCCACCAGAGGACAGCTGTGTCATCAACACTAGGTGTGAACTCTGTGCAGAAGGAAACAGAAGTGCCTGTGCGTGCAGTCTGGTGCCAGGGGGAGGATTTCCCTGGAGTGAATGAATGAATGGTCCCTTGGCATGGGACACTTTGGAAGCAGAGGGAGCTGGGGGTAGTGTGCAGCAGCCTGGTCCAGAGCCTGGTTCCACCACCTCTGGCCACATGTTCTTGGGCAGGTACTTTGTCTCTACAGACTTCTGTCCCTGCTCTGAGACAAGTGACAATATGACCCTGCCTGGAGTAACTAGCAGCGCTTGACAAGACGTGAATTCCATGTGCTTTGCATACTGTTTGCACATTTGAACTTGCCCGTGATGATCCATGATGTTTGTTCTTGTTATTATTACTCATGGCTGCAGAACACAGAAACTACAGGAGGGACTCAGCACCTCACATCCACATGTGCCACCTTCACCCTGACTTCTTTCCCCTGATTCATGCCACACAGCCCCACCCCAATGTCTCCAGCCCCGTCAGCCCCTTACCCTGAAGAGGGTCTGCTGCCTGAGCTCCTGGATTACGAGGGCACCGGCGGCTGCACTGCCATAGCAGCATTTGGAGTTCACAAAGCTGAGGAGGGCCTCCCGGGCCAGCTCCTCAGTCACCACAGGGACTCTGGTGAGACAGAGTAGAGAGGCAGGGGCCTGTCTGGGAAGGGCTTGGGAGCTAACCAGGCCAGGCCCTGCAGAATGGAGGAGACACTGTGGCCTGAAGAGGGGAAGAGCCCAGGGCTGCTGCTATGGTGAAGCCGACCAGAGTCCAACGGGGAGGGCACACGGTGGCAGGATGAGGTGAAAATTTGTTCTAGAGGGCGGCAAAAGCACAGTAGATGAAGTGTGTAGCTTAGGAGGCAGCTGACAAGCCATAGAACTCAAAAAACAAAACTAAACTAAACCACAACACTTTCAGATGAGAAGAGCAGGGAGGATGTCCCGAGGTAGAAGGAGGCAGAGACAGGCCAGATGAGGCTCCTACCCTCAAGGAACCCAACTGGACCAAAGGAGCTAGGAACAGTATACAGGGTAGGCGGGGTGGATCCCTACTGAGCAGTGACCAATGGGCCCCAGCCTAAGGCCCAGGTGGGAAGGAGCTGGGGTCCCTTCTCCACACCCCTTCCCTCCTCCCACAAAAGTCCTCTCCCCTGAGTACGCAGCCCCTTGGTGAAGCCTTCCCCTCAAGGCCTCCAATAGGAAGTCTCACCTTCCTGCATCCTCCCATCTTCAGATCTGCCCTATCTCCTTGGCAGCCCTGAGGGGCATTTAATCTTACTTGGACACCTGGAGTCTCCACACCCAACCAGCCAGGCAGAAGACACCAGAGTGGGACAAGCTGTGGGCTGCAATGGCAGAGATGCTACCCCAGGGGAAGCGGGCTTTGTGCCCAGCACTCCAGGCCGGTGGCCAGGAGTAGGGGGAGGTGTTTCTGGCAGCAGCAGAGTGGGGAACCCAGGAGACTCTCTTGGGGTTGGGCTGGACCCATAAGGGGGCGGCTCCCCCATCTCTGTGCACGGAGCTGGCCGGGAACCATGAGCTCCGCCCCTGGCTCCTCCAGGGATCTAGACCATGGGTTAGTAAACCCTTGAAACAAGGGGGCCAGATGGTAAATATTTTAGCTTTCTCAGGCTGCAGTCTCTGTCTCAACTAGTAAACTCTGCTGTTGTAGTGGAAAAGCAGCCAATAGATGAGACACAAACAATGAGTGTGACTGCATCACAATGAAACTTTGCTTCCAGGCATAGAATGGATTCAGCCCGTGGGCTAGAGTTTATAAATCTCTGGTATCAGCTGTGGATTTCAACTGCAGCTAATCAGCCTGAAGGACTTGGTAAAATGAAGATTCTCAGGCTCCACTCCTGCAGAATCTGGTTGGGCAGGTACCCCCAAGGGACTCTAAAGCATTGCCAGGGTTAAGAATCCCAAAAGAGGGCTCTGGTGGGGCCAGCATGATGTGTGGGAATGCTCACCCTGAGCCTTACCTGCAGTCCAGAACGGAGGACCAGGACAGTGGCTCCCAGGGCCTCCCTGGGGCCTCTGAAGGTGGAAAGAGCATCTGCTGTCCTGGGGGATGGGGAGGAAATGAACAAGTCAGGAGGCCAGCAGCCACCCAAAGGAGCAGGTGTTTGTGGGATGGGAGAAGGAAAGGCTGTCTGCAAGTGAGCAAGAGCGTGTGAGGGGAAGGAAGGAGGCATCTGCGACAGCTCATGTGACATGAGTGGGACTGATTCTAAAACCAGTGCTGCTGGGCTCAGAGACAGGCTTGGTCCCTGTCAGGGGCTGTCCCCTCCCTTCCCACCCAGCATGTCGAGGGGCTTCCCCAGGCCCCAGAGAAAGGGAGCCGCCTCAGCTCCTGCCTGCAGAAGACCCCCAGACTTACTGCCACTCTGAAGAAGGTAGTCATGCCTGGACAGTCTCTCCAGGAGTTCAGTGGGGGGTGCCAGAGGGCTCTCAGCTTTGAAACTGAGGTCCCCCACACCTGCAGGAAGACACAGTCCTGAGCCTTGGGGAAGACTGAGGGAAGCTGAGTGGGGCAGACGGGTGCTGCAGAAAGCCCAGGTGAATTAGTCAGCTCACACTGGCATCCTGGGACACAGAACACATCTGCAGGGTAGGGGCTGGCAAGTTAGCACACTGATGAGGTCACAGCTGAATGGGCCCTTAGGAGGTGGGGCCAGGTCAGAAGAATGGGTCTTGCAGGTGTGTCCTTGGGGACTATCAGTGGTCCCTCGCCCCTTCCTCTCTAGCACTGTTCTGCAGCCAGGCTCTGCTTTCCAGCCACCATGAGTTGGGCAGCCTTCCTCCACCATGCCCTTCTGCATGATGTTTTTGCTTTGGAGCTATCTGACCATGAACTGAACCTCCTGAAATCATGAACCAAAATAAGCCTCTCCTCCCTTAAGTGGTGTCAGGTATTTTGTCCCAGTGATAGGATAGCTGACTAATACACCTGATTCTGCCTTTCTAGTGGCCAAGTCAGTCCTGGGAAGTTGACTGTATGGGGTGGGCTGTGAAATGGTCAGTGGAAAGTGACTCAGGTCAGATGTCTGGTAGATCTACCCCATCTCATAGACCCTTTTTGGGTGGGTAAAGGAGGCACTGCTTTAAAGCCTCTAAATAAAATAGTATTTCATGTTTGTTAAAGTTCAGTAAAAATCAAGTCTAGAAAAGTTAGCAGGTCTTGTTCTAACTGAGCGCAGCCCAGGCTGATCTGGAAGTCAGGTGTGAGGAAGGATGGAACCCCAAAACATGGCTGATAACAAGGAAGGAGGAGGGGTGTCACTAAGAACAACCCCTCTCTACCCCTGCCCCAAAGCCAGAATGCCCTTGTCCTCTGACAGTGAGAACAACTACCCCATCTCTAGGGGTCTTCCTCCTTGCTGGCCATCTGTGGAGGAAGATGGGCAGGAGACAGTGCCGGAGACAGGGGTAGATGTGGCTATGTCGAAAAGTGACTACACTACGAAGCCTCACAGTGATGCCCATGCATGCTGGTGTCCCTGATCTGAAGATCCACCTGGACTTACTACACTTCAAACGGTGGCCCTAACAGTCTCTGTCTTCAGGACTCAATGTGACCATCGTCATGTGAAGCCAGCCACAGCAGGACACAGTTGTATGGAACTTGTGAACACAGTGGGGTTGAGCCTGGCCCCTCAGTTCTCCTCTGCCCGCTACTGACTTGAGGATCACCCACAGAGTGATGTAAACACTCGCCTGGGGGAAGGCTAGAGGGGCATCAGGGAGCCTCTCTGGGGTCCAGGCCTCTGTGCATCCATGGCAGATGCCGTCACAGTCAGAGGGCCATAGCAGAGGGCTCAGGAGAGTAGGTCTGACCTGTGACTCAGCCCAGACTCTGTCACTGAGAGGACTGGCGGGACCCAACTCTTCCAGGTGAGCGTAAACACTTTCCAGGAAGCCATCTGAGGGGAAGTGCACGCAGTGCCTCACCTGTGTCTGGCACTTTGGCACTTCATAAATGCTTGAGGGATCTTGGACCTGAGCAGGCAGGTTTCCCCTTTCACAGTGCTTCCTTAAACCAGGGGACAACAATGTGAAAGTCAAGTGTAGGAAGAGTGACTAGCACAGCCCTCTCCCCTGGGGTTGCCCCACCCACTCTGCGGTCATGGGTGCCTTGACAAGAACACAGGGAAATTCCATATGGCTTCTGTGTCCCCCTGCAAACCAAACAAAGTGGGCAGAAAGAGGGGAAGAACGAGAGGCTGGAAAGTCAGAGCTCCATCCATCAGCTGGGACCCGCCCTGACCTCTGGGGCAGCAGTCACAGTTCTTCAGAGCTAAATTAATCCGCCATTATGCTATGTACAAGAATAAAGGTCTGGAGCCTGACCTACAGGAAGATGCGTCATTTCCTGTACATATCTCAGCCAGCATAACAGGAACGTCACTGGCATTGTGCAGTTGGCAGTGAAGGTCACCAGATGGGGCCTCGAGCTGTGTCCCTATTCCTGTGGTGCTGGGACTGAGTTTCAGGGCAGTGGAGCCACCACATCCTAACACACGTGTCACATCTGGGGGCTCACAAGGAACGTGCAGGCACCGTCTCTTACATGCATCATCATAACCAGTTATCCTCATTGCAGAGAACAACATGAGGCTCAGAGATGTGACTCAGGGCCACCAGCTCACAGATTCGCAGCAGAGAGAGGAAGAACAGAGCGCTTAAAACTCAGATCCTCACTCCAAGCCCAGGGACTTGGGCTACTTAGCTCACCCCCCTGCGTCTCCATGGCAGCATGGAAACATCAGATGGCTGTTGAGAAAACTTTGCAAAGACAGTCAACAAGGTAGTGTTTCAGCTCACTTGCCACCAGGGATTTTTCTTTTGTTCAGAAAGAAATTTTTCTTACAGAGAAAGAGGCAATTAATGGATGGCCTCTTTAGCTTTCTCTTTTGAAAATGCCGTTCTTTTTAATTCAGATGGGAAAAGCAATCTAGGGCAATTCCCCATGCTTCCAGATGAGTAATCTTGAGTCACAGAAATCATGCTCCCATGGCCCCCAGTACCATAGGACTCTCGGGTTTATTCTGCAGCCTGTCTCCATCTGTCACCTTGACAAAGAGTGGCACACAGTGGACACATCAGCATGCCAGTGCACAGAGCACCAAATGAGTGCACATTCAGTCATGCACATGGACACCTTGTGACCTGAATGACACTTGAAACATGCAAGTGACAGGAACAGAAAGCCAGAAAGTAGGGTGATGGCTGCCAGGGGTCCTGGGAAACATGAAGTGGAGAATTTCGTTAGTGAGGAGAGTTTTCATTTTGCAAGATGAAAGGGGTTCCAGAAATTGACAGTGGCAAAGGCTGCACAACAATGTGCACACACCGAATGTGCACTTACAAGGTGAGATCTAAATATATGGTGAATGTTTTGATTTTTAAAAATTATTACATAAAAACACATTGCCATTAGTTCCCTCAATACCCTCCACTCACTTGGAATATACTTATCCCATAGTTTTTGCCACTTTCGGAAGGAGTTTTGGAGCCCTTTTTCATGTCTTTATGAAGTATGATAATAAATGTGATGAACACTGCTATCAAGGGCTCACAAAAACATTACAGTGAGTCCTCATTCACTTTATTTGCCAGATCCAGAATGGTGTGACTTCTGGCTCTTCCACAAGTAAAAATGACCATGGGAGGTAAACATTTGGAATTAATTCAGGACATCAAGGCAGTCAGAACAGAGTGAGCCGACAAGACCTGGACATCAGCACTGCACCTGCTCCCCGAGGGTTTGTGTAACACCAAGGCTGGACAGGAGGCCCGAACCCGCCATGATACCACGAGAGCCTCTGAGTCTCAGATTGGGGGTGGTGAGGGCAATTAAGTAAACCTTTTGGGAACAGAGCAGACCCAAGTGCCAAGCAGAGGTCCCCTATACCCAGCACTGGAACATTCAGGGTGACGGCAGAGCGGCCTCAGATCAGGATTCTCAGCCCTGAGCTCAGCTCTGCTCTAATTCCACAGGGTCTAAGGCCCAGGAAGGAGCTGCAACCCAGGCTTTATGGCCCTGGACCTGAGAAGCCCCCTCTGAAGATTATGGAGGGCTCAAGTTACAGCCCATCTTTACTTCAAGATCCTTTTCTGTATCATATCTGGGAAGGTTTCAGTCTACAATAAAAAATTATATTACCAAAGATATGCTGTACAGGAAAAAAATGGATTTTCCCCCTTTTGCTCTGAGCTGGAACCTTGAGTGGGTAACCCACTTATACTCAGAATTGTTAAGAGCAGGATCTGGTGGAGCTAAAAAAGGCAGGCTATTGAAAAACGAATAGCCTTGGTACCTACAATCAAGGCCAAAGAGTACACACTCCAGGGAAAGCCGTAACTGGGGCCAGCCTATCATCAGAAGTGCCTGCCATGGCGGGAGAGGCACCGGTCAGGGGGTGCTGCAGAGGCATCCCAGCACCTGCCATGCGCCACTGGCCTTTGTGGGGATCTCCACTGAGTGCATATCCAGGGCGTCCCTATTCAGGCCGCCTTCCGAGGAAGTTCTTCTCTCTGAAGCCACTTACAGTGTAGACCCCGAAGTTCAGAGGGCAATACTTTAGCGGATGGGAAGTGGTCTCCATCAGATGAGATGGGCAGCCACTTCATCTCAGTGCAAGTTTTTACTACATAAGTTCTGCAGTGGGCTCCCTTTCTCACACCTGGAGAAAAGGTGCTCTGCTTCCAGTTCACCCACTGGGTTTCTAAGCCCCTTTCTGGATGGCCCCACACCTTCAGGGTACCCTCCTGCTGAGCTGAGTACCACCACACTGGCACCCAGCATGCAGGGGGCCCTGTTTCATAACCAGGGCTTTTAGAATTGTGAGGGAATGAAAGCATTCATCTCGCTCTCAGATGGCTTATAAAAAGGCACAAGACTAATACAGGAACCTCACAGGTGACCAACTTTTCCATTAATAGCAGTTTACTTTTTGTTTCTTTGTTTTTGTTTCTCGAGACAGGGTTTTACTATGTAGTTCAAGCTGGCCTGGAACTCACAGCAATCCTCCTGCTTCAGCCTCCCAAGTGCTGGGATCACAGGTGTGCACCACCATGCTCAGCTCGGTTTACTTTTTGAAGGGTCTGGGTCTCTTACTTCAATGTGGAAAAGGGACCCAACAAAATTTAGATTGAGTTGCTCTAAGTGTAGGTTGCTTTTATATTCTATTTCAGTTCTAAAACCTAAAGCTGTATAATCCCAACATAAGAGGCAACAAAGCATATTGAACCTGCAAAGGCCCCGGGCTCACCATGGCTAGTGATGCTGAAGATGTATCAGTGTCACAGCCTCTCGGGATTGGGGAGAATGATGTAGGCTCCCTCC